TTTAATCATTAAATTTTCTGTCCCCTGTGACACAAATGTGACTGACAAGATTCAGGAAAAAACATGGTTTTCGATATGACACGCTTGCATCCCAAGTACCAAGTTGTCCGACTCCCCATTGTTCTCGGTGCCTTAGGTTACGTACCTCCCAATCTGTCGACTGACATTGGGAGAGTACCCGTGTTTGTTGCCAGGAATACAGCCCTTCTGACAACCTTGGTAATGCAGAAGGCTGCAGTGTTTGGGGAGTCTTCAAATTCTCCGAGAAGTTCTGGGTGGGTGCGACTAGGCAGCGCTTCCTGGGAGAAGTCCCATTCGCTGTCTGGGCTGCGCGTAGAGCTGATGCTGGGCCTAACCAGCCTGACTGTGCCAGGATCACCCGAAACCCTTTTGCCAGGGTATGAAACTCCCAAAAATTTCAGCCAGACCACAGGACTGGCTAGCTGAAATACTTGCCAGCCCTGACCAAAACCTGCCTGCCCACTATAATCATATGTTTCTCAGGATAAGCTAACGGGGTTTCTTTTTGGTTACATTTTATCATTCATCTTTACATGTGAATTAATGCTTATCATCGGGAAATATTTTGAATATTTTCACATATGAAATATAACCCGACCGTCGGGCAGGGGGATTTGAAAATCTGGCAGCCCGAGTTAAAATCAACCCGTCTCGGACGGTCGGGCAGGCAGGTATTTCGAACACTGCTTTTGCTGCACTTTTATTCCAATCTGTACAATATTTATCTCTAAATATAATGCGTTATTGCCTTGTGCCACAGTATGGGTAATCAATGCAATAACGAAGGACACATTGACTGATGCTCCTCGTTAGTTCCTAACGCCTAATTAGAGATTAAATCATCTTTCATACGAAGGAAAACCAATATTGTTATTTGATTTCATCTTCTTCTGTTGGATGTTCAACCGCTGGTTGTCACTTTGACCAGACAACCCAGCTATTTGAGTGAGTGAGTTTAGTTTAACGCCGCTTTGAACAGTATTCCAGTTATATCACGGCCTGTCAGCTTTATGTGGGAGGAAAGCCCGAAGTGATGCAGGTCTCAGACGTTTACCACTTCGGTGAAACCCACGAGCACGGGTATTGTGCTGACAAACCTAGAAACATAATCGGGGCGAACCAGGATTCAAACCCACAATCATAGGTTTCTGGCGTGCCCAAGGGACGCAACCCCAACTATTTGAAGTGGCCTCACAGAAGTTTTCAGTTTCAGTATTTTACAAATATATAGATATGTACGCAAGGCTTATTTGAACTAGTTTGTCTAATAATACGAATGTGGGCAATAGTTGACCATGGCAACTTGTAAACATGTTTCTGAGTATTTAAAATTTTTTTTTTTTTAAATTCTAATGTTATAAAAGAAAATGATGGCCTTTATTGTTTGAAGACATCACATCCTTCTGTGACACAGATATATGTTCTAAGTGATGAGGTCATACCTAGCAATGGCCTTAACCATCAAGTGAGTAAGTTAGTGAGTGAGTATGGTTTTACGCCGCTTTAAGAAATATTCCAGTAAAAATACGGCGGGGGACTCCAGAAAAGGGCTTCACTCACTGTACCCATGTTGGGAATCGAACCCGGGTCTTCGACGTGACGAGAGACCGCTATAACCACAAGGCTACTCGACCGCCCCTTAACCATAAAGGCAAGGGGTCATCGGAAATTGGCTTCGGCGAGGTTAACACAAAGTATTGACATAAATGAGACAATTTCGAACACACTGGCGTCCATCGATATGTAACCGTCAACATATATATATATATATATATATATATATATACACACACCATTTTATACCATTCTCCTACAGTAAACATATGACACTGACACTGTCACTGTCAAATATGTTTACATGACTTTCCTTTTGACGATCCAGTAAGTATTGTGTGAGTCCATGTCGTGCATTGGTGTCCATTCTTATGTTCATTTGGCGACCGTTACAACAATCGCATGTGGGCCCAACGTGGGGTCGATAATGTGAGCATCAGTGCGTAACGATACGACAGTCTAAGGTGATCGTGTTTGGCGGTAAACATCCAGGTGACTCTCCGAACTCATTTCCTTTCTTACAGAGAACAAACACATACTTTTTATGCAAATTGTGTGAGTGGCAGGTGTCACCGTTAGGGCAGGACATGCTAACCCTTTTCGGGAACACCTGATGCCTTCACAGATTAACAGTGATCCATTCAGATATTCTCACCGCTCTTTTGCCTTTTACGCCCAATGGAGTATAATTGTTCTCTAGTGTTGACGTTTGATATATAGATTTACTTCAATGTCGATGGTGTAGGCTCCATCAAATGAAAAACGTTTAAAGACAATCTCATTAAAATCAGACCTTAGTTCTCGCTTCCGCTAAACAAAGATCTGAGGACATCCCATTACGGGTCACGTCGGACCGACCTTCCGCGAACTTTGACCGGTCAATGGATTGACCAATCAGCAGGGAGCATCTCGTGCTTTACGGCACTAATTTCAAATTGGCGACTACGCTTCGAAACATATTTTGACAAATTCTCCATTACAAATTTGAAACCTGAACAAAAGAACATTCTGGAATGGGTAATAGATGGTCTAGACTGTATGGATTCTGTCGTTTAAGCCGTACCTATCGTTCAGAATACCCCGTGTTAAAGTTTTCGAGGTTGCATGATTAGAAATCACATTCCGACTGTCACTTTAATAATCTGGTAAGCGAAGCTCTGATTAGTCGGATGTAAGGTCGTTCTGACGTGACCCCTAATGGGATGTCTTCAGATCTTTGTTTGGCATGGCGAGAACTAAGGCCTGATTTTAATGAGATTGGTTTAGAGAATGACTCGGAATCGGTTGCTTCGAATAGGTTGTTATATATTGCAGTTGCGAGTGAACACGCTCCACCCAAGAGTGGGTTTGTCGGCTTGATTGATGTCTAGCCACGTGAAGGACATCGTGGAACACTTGCCATCACTCGATCTGTATTCTAAGCTTTTGCACAGAAAGTCGTTCTCATTCAGACACATCTCAAGGCACTGTGTCTGTGTCAAATCATTCTCGGTCTTGTTATTCATTTCAAACACCACTCGGTCAGTTGAGACGGTGAAGGTTGTGCCATATTCAGTACAATCTGAACAGAAGAAAGTACTACATGTATCTTTGCAATTAGTGCAGCTAAAAAGTTAATTCTAATATAGTTGAATAAGGAACTGACTATATACATTTAGGTTGGGCGTGGGCATTGGCTGGTGGCAGTTTGTTTACGGCAGTCAGATCTTCAGGACGTTGGTTTGGTTTTGGAGGACCAAGGACGTTTTTTTTTTTTGGGGGGGGGGGGGGGGGGGGTCAGGCAACAAACACCTACTTTTTTTACTTAAGAAAATTATGTGCAGCAGGTGCAGCAGGTGCAGCAGGTAGTATGGGGGATGCTTCCCCCTTTCACGAACCCCTGGTGTCATCATCCATTTTCACTAATTCTCCATTAATATAATTTTCACCGCAGTTTTACCTTTTGCGCTCAATGGAATCAGTTTCGATGGATAGTTGACCTTTCCTGAGTGCTAAAACATTCTTTTTCAAAACATCCTGCTTGTCCAGTATACGATATGTTTTGTGTAAATATTAAGTCAAATTCTTTTTGGCTTGCATTTTTCTTGAATGTTCTATTCCTCCTCCAATGAACATTATATAATTGATTTGTATCTATGTTACGTAGCTAAAAGCGACAAAACCCGTTCCATTATCATAAAAACAATCCAGTACGATTCCGTTTATGTCATGAGCATATGTTTATGAATCACTATAAATTAATAATACTACCAGGTGTTCGCGAGGGGAGCGCATCCTGCCACACCGGTGACACCCGTCACAAGCGAAGGCACGTCAAATATTAACCTTATAAACACGAAACAATATTGACTGAAAGAAAGCATGAATCAAGAAGGGCACACGGCTTTAGATGTTTCAATCATATCATTTCAAAAAGATAATACAAACGCATAAACACGGATTAAGTACAGCCATAAAACGCATCATTCACTTTACATAAAGGACGATACACGATGGTAAAAACAATTTAATATATCATTGCAATATTCCCGTGCCAGGCGAATCAGCAAAACACCCATTCTTTTTTGTTTCATAAAATGCATCTTTCTTATATACTACTCAAAAGAAGTTAAGGATCACCCGATTCTTTCATAATGGTAAAGTTAATCTGTCATGACATGAGAGATTAACTATAGTAATATGAAAGAATCAGGTGATCCTTAACTTCTTTTGAGTAGTATATATGTCATCACACGTGTACTTACGAGTCTCGCATGTGTCGCTTCCGGTGTGTCTGGAGTGGCTATAGCCAATTTCACACTGACACTGTCCAGACTGACAGACAGACAAGGCGCCCAAGCAGTCAGATGAAGTCGTGCACGTGTTGTCAACTAACCCCAGGGCTGCAAGGAAACCCGATTCATTTACAAAACAATCGTGTAGTGTATTACGATGTTTTGCCAAACGTGGAATTGCGGTTTTCATCATATAAAAAAGCTTCAAAACGATTTCCACAATGATAATAATAATAATACAAAGCAGACTCCATCGTACGATCCCCCCGATCCTACTAAAAGAAATGGTATCCAAAATGGTTATTGCTGGCCCTTGATCATGAAACACCTGTAGAGAATGAGGGCGTGGGGTAGCCTAGTGGTTAAAGCGTTCGCTCGTCACGCCGATGACCCGGGTTCGAATCCCTACATGGGTACAATGTGTGAAGCCCATTTCTGGTGTCCCCCGCCGTGATATTGCTGGAATATTGCTAAAAGCGGCGTAAACCCAAACGCACTCACTCACTCACTGTTGACAATGACAGCAAATATTCCTTCATTTTAACAACATGATTTTAACCAGCCTATTCAATAACTGGGTACTTGATGAATAATTACTCAGAAAACAAGGTTTTTCTATAACTTCTATCAACGTCGTGGGGAATTAAAACTTTAACGACCACACGTACGTGTTGCCTCACCTCTGCACGTCAAGAACATGTTGGCGCCCGGGTCGGTCACATAAGTCACGTTGGCCGGAGACGTGAAGCTCACGTTGTAGCCGCGACACTGACCACCGTCTGGAGAGTACCCTGCTGTTATACACTGAGGGTCCTGCATGCACAAGACAACGCAGTGCACCCGAGTGTCCACCCCCTCCAGAGACCAGACCATGCCCTCCGTGACTCGCCTGCTAGCAAATTCTGACAGCGTTCTGATTCCACAAGTGATGATGTTATGAGCATTGACGTTGTGGTAGACGATAACAGAGAGAAGAATGGACAGCTGTGTTGGATCCATTCTCGATGTCTCGCTCATGTCATCTGAATCAGCTGCTGGGCAGGTGCTATGCTTTAACCTGCTTGTTTTCCGTGTAATTTGTTATACTATCCAACTTTTGTTAGGGGTATAGCTGAACGTAACGTCAATATAAAAATCTGTGACGGGTCTAAATATATTTAATATATGTGTGTGTATGAGTGAGTGAGTGAGTGAGTGAGTCCAAGACCTATTCTACCTCGGAATGTGAGTGAGTGAGTGAGCCGAAGACCTATGCTACCCCGGAATGTGAGTGAGTGAGTGAGTGAGTGAGCACGGTTATGGTGTTGACAAACCTAAGTGAGTGAGTGAGTGAGTGAGTAGCCGAGTGAGTGAGGGAGTGAGTGAGCCCAAGACCAATTTTACCCCGGAATGTGAGTGAGTGAGTGCGCGCGTGCGTGCGTGCGTGCGTGCGTGCGTGAGTGAGTGAGTGCGTGAGTGCGTGCGTGCGTGCGTGCGTGAGTGAGTGAGTGAGTGAGTAAGTGAGAACGGGTATGGTGTTGACAAACCTAAAATCATAATCGGGTTGAGCTGATAGGCGTAGTCATAATGCTGATACAAGCACGGTTATGGTGTTGACAAACCTAAGTGAGTGAGTGAGTGAGTGAGTAGCCGAGTGAGTGAGGGAGTGAGTGAGCCCAAGACCAATTTTACCCCGGAATGTGAGTGAGTGAGTGCGCGCGTGCGTGCGTGCGTGCGTGCGTGCGTGCGTGCGTGCGTGCGTGCGTGAGTGAGTGAGTGCGTGAGTGCGTGCGTGCGTGCGTGCGTGAGTGAGTGAGTGAGTGAGTGAGTGAGAACGGGTATGGTGTTGACAAACCTAAAATCATAATCGGGTTGAGCTGATAGGCGTAGTCATAATGCTGATACAAGCACGGTTATGGTGTTGACAAACCTAAGTGAGTGAGTGAGTGAGTGAGTAGCCGAGTGAGTGAGGGAGTGAGTGAGCCCAAGACCAATTTTACCCCGGAATGTGAGTGAGTGAGTGAGTGAGTGCGCGCGTGCGTGCGTGCGTGCGTGCGTGCGTGCGTGCGTGCGTGCGTGCGTGCGTGCGTGCGTGCGTGAGTGCGTGAGTGCGTGCGTGCGTGCGTGCGTGAGTGAGTGAGTGAGTGAGTGAGTGAGAACGGGTATGGTGTTGACAAACCTAAAATCATAATCGGGTTGAGCTGATAGGCGTAGTCATAATGCTGATATAATCATGCGTCTTCGCAAAACTCATTGTTATAAATCGCGGGTCTCTCAAATTATGTCTCCAGGTCCTCGTGCGGAGACCTGCATCACTTCGGGCTTTCCTCCCACATTAAACTGACACGCCGTGATATAACTGGAATATTATTAAACTCTCACTTTAATAAGCTCCATTCATCAATACGATGACCATAAAATATTTCCCATCTTTCCCAATAAATTACGATGAGGATTTTCCCGACGTGTGAATATTTAAGTTTGTAATGACTATATATCCCAATATCTTTCATTAAAGTTGAGCAGTATATGGCAAGGAAGTAACAAATATATCGATATGCAATAACACTGGTTTTCACGTGTCAGTCCGTGCCATTATTGAATCCTCACTCAAAGGAGACCTTATCGTTTGAGATAGATTTATCGGCAACAAACAGCACTGTACAATTAACGAACGTCACTCGGATGTCATTGAAAGACAAGTCTGGCATTGACGCTGCTGATGAATGGATCTTAGTTGGGATTATCCGGTGCTGACATCTCACAATAAATCTATTTACAACGCTTCCATGCTGTTATCAATATCTGGCCTCCAGCCAAGAGATCATTAAATTTAACTCAAAGCCCAAAATACACGTATCACAAACATTTCTTAGTGATCATGTTTTGTTAAGTTCAAGGAATCCGTTGTCTTTTATCAGGACAAAATATTTGAACAAAAACGCAAGACCAAATAGATACACATCTCACTACAACCTGGAGGCTTTCTGACTATATAAAAGCGAAAAAAACAACTTCAACGATCACTCGACGATTACTGCCACATCATTTTAAAAAACAATGGTTTTGTATTTATGGTCGTGTGTTATTGTGGCTGATAGGTACTTATCACGATAATCGCGTTGCGTTAGGTGCTGGTACAAAATATTCGTTCAAACTCTGTATTGTAGATGTATATTCAGGACATACTTGTCAAGAAACTGGCTTTTCATCAAAATCGTAAAACCTTCTCCGCTCTTAGAAGCATGCATGGGAAGACCTTATTTTATATAGAATAGAGAAAAGTGTGCACATGATCTTCAGTCCTTTACTTGTCAAGTAGTAAATCGTATACAGCAAAAAAGTATTTAAAAATAGCGACATCCAAGGTCGGCGCTTCAATGAAAAGCCCATAAGCTTGGGAGCTTTCTCTAAACAAAGATACAATAAAGCACATGAATGTTAAATTATTCTTGTTAATTCAATCAGCACACATTTTTTGGCCTACAAGGCCGAGCACAAAAAAATGAAAAAGCTCCACCAAGCAGAGCGACAAGCAGCGAATAATCAGCAAGACAAGTTCTATGGATGAACAACTTCTTTATTACAATTTGTGCGACGTTTCGGTGTAGATCCTAACACCTTTATCAAGCAAGTGATGACTTTCATCAAAGACCTCAGGTTTCAATGAGTGAGTGAGTGAGTGAGTGAGTGAGTTGGGTTTAACGCCACTTTTAACAGTATTCCAGTTAGCTTAGAAAACCCGAAGTGATGCAGGTCTCAGACGTTTACCACTTCGGTGAAACCCACAAGCACGGGTATGGTGCTGACAAACCTAGAAACATAATCGGGGCGAACTGGGTTTTGAAACCACAATTATGGGTTTCTGGCGTGCCCAAGGGATCAAAATCTGCAAAGCGAATCGCGGCCACTTAAAGGTTTCAAAAAGTTTTATGGTAGACATGTGGAGGACATTTTAAAAAATCCGACGCATCAGCGACGATAACATGTTCTTTCCTCAGTAAACTTCACATGATATTTGCATCTTTTTTCACAAATAAATGTCCACGTGTCTTTTAGCGTATTTACTTTATAGGCATCCGTGCAGCATGGTAGAATTTGTGCTAAGTAACCTGTGCTGGTCGTAAAGGTTGGGCAAATGGATCGTGTGGTATGACTCGGTTTTTGGGTTGATGGCGAATGCCATAACGTTATTGCAACTTTTATCTCTTTTTATACCAGGGGCTTAATAAGACAACGAGCTGAAGTATTATACATTATTGTTTGTTTGTTGTTTAACGCCACACTCAGCAATATTCCGGCTATATGACGGCGGTCTGTAAATAATCGAGTCTGGACCAGACAATCCAGTGAATGACATCTTGAGTATCGATCCACGCAATTGGGATCGATGACATGCATCAACCAAGTCAGCGAGCCTGATCACCCGATCCTGTTAGTCGGGAGCATAGTCGCCTATTACGGGTAGCATGGGTTGCTGAAAACCTATTCTACGTGGACATTTACGTCTTGTCGTAAGAGGTGACTAACGGGATCGGGTGGTCAGGCGCCTAAACACCTAAATGTCCATTCTTTCATTAATTACATTTAAATATACATTACTCCGTAATGCATGATTCAGCAAGTTGTATTCGTGAGTGAGTGAGTGAGTTTGGTTTAAAGCCGCTTTTAACAGTATTCCAGTCATATCGCGGCGTGTCAGCTTAATGTGGGAGGAAAGCGCGAAGTGATGCAAGGTCTCTGACGTTTACCACTTCGGTGAAACCCACGAGCACGGGTATGGTACTGACAAACCTAGAAACATAATCGGGGCGAACCGGGATTCGGACCCACAATCATAGGTTTCTGGCATGCCCAAGTGACGCAACTCTGCACAGCGAATCGCGGCGCCTTAGACGACTGGGCCACCCGTGCCCCAGCAAGTTGTATTAATGAATTATGGACTGGTCGCATGCTACTGAATAACTTGTCTGTTTGTATGGGTGGGGCAGGGTTCTATTTGATACTGATTCATAAACACATGGTTATGATATAGTCAAACTCGTACAATGGCTTTTAGCAGAGATTTATTATGATTAAAATGAGTTTTGTCGTTTTTTTAATAATTTTCTATAAGTTTGTTTGTTTTGTTGTTTAACGCCGCATATTCGAACTATATGATGGCGGTCTTTAAATAATCTAATCTGGACCAGACAACCTGTGATGGACATCATGAGCATCGATCTACGCAGTTGGGACTAGATGACATGCATCAACCAACTCAGCTAGCCTGACTACGCGATCAAATTAGTTGCCTCCTACGACAAGCATGGATTGCAGAAGACTAATTATAACACGTTATCTTCACGGGACTTTTATATATATATATATATATATATATATATATATATATATATATATATATATATATATATATATCACAAGAAAGCCCAAGCTAAAGGAACTCACGAACCATGTCAAGATGCGTGACACCAGGTGGTCGCGTGTTCAGGGCCCCGTTCTACAAAGCGATCTTAGGGCTAAGTTGATTGTAACTCACTAAGTATGCGATCTTAAATTTTTGTTACGATCAGCCGCCCGTTCTACAAAGCAATCTTAACTAAGAGAGTTGTAAGTTAAGATCAAAATGCTAAGTTGCTCCGGACCAACGTAGGATTGCTAAAATCGATCTTAAATATTGTACCATAACAACAAAGATGGCGACTTTTATTATGGTGTGCAAGGAAATGCGTCGTCTGCTTAACTTGACCAAGGGAGGCCACTCTAAGGGAAACTTTCGCATCTTCATGGCTGAAGATTCCGATCTTTGTTAAGATCGGCTATTTAAGAACTTGTAAAGTTACAATCGCCCTAAGATCGCTTTGTGGAACGGTTGTAAACTTTAGCTAAGACAATTTTAAAATTGACGTAAGTCTCTAAGATTGATTGTAGTTACGATATCTTTGTGGAACGGGGCCCAGGTTGTTAAGTCATGCTCCTGTTAAGATCGAGGTGTAGGTAAAGCATAGTTCATAGAACAAGGTCTGTCAAGTAAACAAATGACTTCATTTGTAAAGTTATATATAGAACGATTGTTTACCTGGCAAATCTAGTGATGAAACACTGTCCAAGCTGTGTGGAGCCAAAATCACTAGACATACCATTGATTAATCACATTAAAACCGGCATATAGAAACGGACCTTCACTCAAAAAAACTCATTAGACATACAGTAAACTACGGTTATAACGAACACGGTTATAACGAACTAATGGATATAACGAACTAACTTTTTAGTCCCGACTATATGCTGTAGTTATGCTGTATATATGCTTATAACGAATTACGGTTATAACGAACTAAAATTAGTGGCCCCTTTGAGTTCGTTATAACCGTAGTTTACTGTACGTCGTAATATTAATTTATCCAATAAAAACCGGCCTATAGAAACGGACATGGACCATCACTCAACAAACACGACACCGGGCTGGAAAGTCAGTAGTCACGGAGTGTTTCATAGCTCTTTTGTCTCTTGAATGTTAAATTAATTATTATATATATCAGTAGTCACGGAGTGTTTCATAGCTCTTTTGTCTCTTGAATGTTATATTATTTATAATATATATCAGTAGTCACGGATTGTTTCATAGCTCTTTTGTCTCTTGAATGTTATATTAATTATTTTATATATATATATATATATGTATATATATATATATATATATATATATATATATATATATATATATATGTATATATATATATATATATATGTGTATATATATACACACACACACATATATATATATATTAAGTTATTACAGTCCTCCCTTTTTATTATGTCATGCTGTTCTAAGACCGGATTTCCTGAGTCAAAATTTCCCTGGCTATAATGGCACCATGGTTATAATGTCAAAGCCAATAAAATTTCTGAATATTCCTGTTCCCTGGTTATAATGCCATTCTTTGTTCAAGTTTGACAACACATTGGCAGTTTAGTTAATCGTTTGGAGATGATTCCTTTCTAAAATAAAAAAACCCAAACTAATTGCATTGATCTCAGTTCTTCTAACAGCTTATCCTCACATCGAAGTCTTGTCCCTGAATAGTTGTCACAGGTTAAGATTAATTTCATGCCCCCTGTCATCACCCTGTCTGGAGCTAGGCATTAAGGGGCTAAAACAAGGACTGGTCGGCTCGGAGTCAGTATACTGTGTCTGAGTGGGGTATTCATGTTAAACTGCGGCATGGTATCTCAGTGGGCTAGCACTATAAATCGGCATCATGCCGGACTAGTACAAGCAGCCACACACAAACACACACGTACATGCACGTCGCTTTATAAGTGCAATAATCTTGGACGCGACGTTAAACCCAATTTCACCCCCCCCCCCCTCACAATCAGGAGGATTGTATTTCAATGAAGGTAACTGTTTGTAATTGATTGTAGGCGAACGGTCGTTTTACCTCATGTGAGTATTCATTCGACCCACGTGTAAGTGTTATCGTGTTCACGTGGATTGTTCATGTAGAAATATCGACATCCTTAAAGATTGGTGTGGGCTATCCATGGTGAATAGTTTGTTGAAACTTCCATCGACCGCTCAGATTGCAGAACAGGTTACGATGTAGATGACGGAACGTGAATGACATAGCGTTGATGAAGACATACACGGGAATTTTCAATACAGTCAGAATAAGTCGAAGATGATTGATTATTGAAAAAAGGCTTATGTGATATCTTTGGCCTGTGGTGATTGGAGAAGTTTGCACACGCGAGGCAGCCGTGGCATACTGTAAACATTTACGACAGTGATCAGATTTCGTTTGGTGCAGCATTATTTACATTAAAGTACAAGCTGATGGAACGTGTTGTCCGCTCTCTTTAGGGCATGTCACACCTAGCTGAGCTATACCGGAGCATAAATTTGGCGATTTTCGGGGATGGGTACTAGTACGGCAGCGCAACGAGTGAGTGAGTGAGTTAAAGCTTTACGTCACATCGGCAATATTTCAGCCATATCGTGACGAGAACATTTATAATACTGACATTAAAATAAAACACCTGTCATCGACGGACAGTAGAACAACTAGCATATCACAGTTTAAAAGTAAAACTAGTTTAGAACAATTAAAAGAATAACCTATTATTTAACAATACATTATAAAAAAACGGGCTAGAGATCGCCAGCAACCAAAGTTAGGCCACCGAACTGGGGCCCGTGGGGACTTACAATACTTCTGCTACCTGCACGGCTCCCCAGCAGGATTTACACCATCCTTTCAGCTGCTGGCGATGGTACGCAAGGCAGCGCAACGGTATCAGAACGGTAGTACATCGTCAGCACATCATCATTCCATGGCCAGGACATCGTCAGGACATCGTCAGAACATCGTCAGGACATCGTCAGAACATCGTCAGGACATCGTCAGAACATCGTCAGAACATCGTCAGGACATCGTCAGGACATCGTCAGAACATCGTCAGGACATCGTCAGAACATCGTCAGGACATTGTCAGAACATCGTCAGGACATCGTCAGGACATTGTCAGAACATCGTCAGGACATCGTCAGGACATCGTCAGAACATCGGCGAAAAATTTAGCAACGGCAACATGCTCAAAAAATTCTGCTGTTTCGGAGCAGCAACGGGAGCAACGGGACTACAACGGCAGTTCAACGGCAGCACCCGTAATGGATTGGCGGCTCCCCGGTGGCCTCAAGGTGTACCGTACTGGTACCGATGGGATACCGTAGTACTACCGAATATCACCGAAGTAGTAACGATGCGCCGCCGAAGTGATATTGGAGCGCCATCGTCATTCGTGACCAACTCGTGTTATTCCGGGACAACCGAAAAGCGACTCGTGACCCTCTCATGGCCATTATTGCGACCGGGTTCCATCAAAGCGCAAACGGGCATACCTAAAACAATTGTCATCTCGTTGTGTAATGCTTGACATATATTTCCCCATATATTATATATATTTCAGATGCAATTCAAAGCACATCGGGACGTGCGGAATTTTACAGTATGATTGAACACATTTAAATGTGTCTTGGGTATGTTTTTAGATGCAAGACATGTAAAATCAAAAAAATATTTCTGAGGGATTCTTTGATGAAGTAGTTGAAATCGAACGCGCATTCTGATTGGTTTGTCGTATTTTCGCACATAACATTCATCGATAGGGGGACGAGTCTTCTTGCAGGTTACGGAAAGGGGCGAGTGGTGACGAATGCGCCACCATCTCACCGTTGTCCTGTCGATGTACTTTCGATGTACTAACGATGTACTACCGTTCTTAGCGTAATACTACTGTTCTACGTTGTGCATTTTGCATATAAATAGGGGCACAAACTACCAGCCCGTCATTCCTTCATTTGTCATCAAGGTAGGTGGACCTGTGGATTCAGGATGATCAAATAGCCGTCCCCCAACGCCAGAATCAGGTGACCCAGGTGGCACTTCACCAGATCCAGGCCAGGAGGAGGAGAAAAAGAAGAAGACCTCAAGTACCTCGATCAATCTGGGTGACACCATGGATCATCAGGCGTCGTCAGTTTGGGATGTATGACCAGTTGCTGGTGGAGCTCTGCTGAGAGGACCAGAGGGCCTTCAAGAACTTCCTCAGAATGTCCCCAGAGATGTACGACGAGCTGGTACAGCGAAATGGTCCCAGGATCACCAAACAAAGAACCTGGTACAGGGAGCCCATGGATCCTGGCCTGAAGATTACCATCACTCTGCGCCACCTCGCCTCTGTGATCAAGTACATGGCCATGAAGTTTGGTTGGAGGGTACCCCACAACACGCAGTCACTGGCCGTAAGAGAAGTCTGGACGAGGCGATGACCCGCCCCACAACCCCTGAAGGCTTGTGTGAGATCTCAAGCCAGGTCATGGAGAAGTGGAACTTCCCACATACCTGTGGTGCCCTTGATGGCAAGCACGTTGCCTGCAAGGCTCCTCCAAAGAGTGGTTCCGTATACTACAATTACAAGGAGTTCTACTCCATCATGCTCATTGCACTCATAGATGCGGACTGCACGTTCCTCTGGGCAGTTGTTGGTAGTCCCGGATCCTCGTCTGACGCCCAGATCTACAACGAGTCTGAATTCCAACAAATGGCTGAAGATGGAACCATTGGCTTCCCTGCTTCAGATCCTCTTCCTAATAACTACAAGGATGTGCCATACTTCTTTGTCAGTGATGACGCATTTGGCCTACGGAAACACATGATAAAGACATACACCCTGTGTGGTCTTACAGAGGAAGAGAGGATCTTCAATTACAGACTGTCCCGAGCCAAAAGGGTCATTGAAAATGCATTTGGCATTCTGGCAAACCGGTTCCAGGACCAAAATACAGCACCACCCATCCACCGACAAGATCATCCTGAAGGCGCACATTGTTCTTCACAACTTGATGAGAATGAGGTATCCAACAGTGCAGAGCCAGCAGCTAGACCGTAGGGAGAATGCCAACAGAGACTTCAGAGCGTGGAGGCAGTGGAACCTGATCAAACATTAGGCCAAATCTGAAGATTCGAGGTCACCAGCATGTGCTCAATGGTAGCCTTCAACTGCAAAGACAAATGCAGCCTTGTTGTGCAGGAACACCTTCTAGATCTTAAACTGCTCCAGAAGCAAGGACTCCCGCTCAGTCAAGTGTTGCGTACCAGAGACACCCTTGGTGTTGAGGAGCTTTGTGTGTGTGTCACGGGCAGAGGTGTACAAGGTGAAAATGGTCTGGTAAGACTTTCCCATGAGGACAGCCTGCTCCACAGCCTCTTCTTGTCCTGGCACTTGTAGTGTGTTCCACAGGATGGGGTTGTCCTCAACCCAGTCCACCATCTAGTTTTCCTTCTGGAGTGTCAAGCTGCTAGTGTTCATTCTAGTCCCTGCCTTCCCCTTGGTCTATGAGCTGACGGAAGCAACCGTGGAGGTGGAGGCGGCGTTGGAGACAACTGAGGCAGTGGTGGAGACCACTGAGGCGGCGTTGGAGACCACTGTTGCGTTGGAGCCTGCTGAAACTTAGGAGGACACTGAGGAGGACCGGGAGGACTGGGAATCAGGAGAAGATACACGGGAGGAGTCATGAGGAGGGGTAGGCGATCTTGGAGCAGATTCATTAGCAGCAGCGTCAGCCAGTAGGTGCCTTAGCAACACCCTTCTTCTTGTATGGCATCGCTTGAAAGTTGTAGTAGTCACTGATGTCAGCTCGGTGTCTACAGCAGAAATGGTTAGGTTCTCCGAGAGGGGCCATATCTATACAGATTGGTCACTTGTTACATCGGTGGCACATCAGTAGTGCATCGGCAGCACCATGGTATCACTCCTCTATAGCTTTGGTCAACGGTGGTACATCCGCATAACATCGGCGGCGCATCGGTAACACTAAGGTGACAGAAAAGTGGTATTCGGTATCACACCGGCTCTTACATTGGTAGGTCAGAGGTAGAACAACGGTATCACATCGGGAACGCCGGTTCTACATCGGTATTGCTATGGTCAGTTTTGATTTTTCAAGTGCTTTCTCACCGGAGATCCGCCAATTTTCTCGACGTTGTTAATTTTGTTGCTCCGGTTTAGTCCCGGCTAGGTACATCGGTAGTGCGTGACAGGCCCTTGGACATGTTTTTATATATGTTTTTAGTTAAAAAATATGAACAATTCTCAATAGGCCTATCTATTAACATTAATCGAGTAATAATTAAGTAATTTGGACCTTTCCTGTAAAAATATACTATCATTCGTCCCATACACTTGTCAACGCTTACGCCACATATCTACCTCTCGTCGTACAGGGAGTTAAACGGCTGACGCTGCTGCCAAAGCAGTACTCAACACATTGTCACACCACTTCTTATCCCTTTGAGTGATAAAGAAAATTGTAATTAGATGTCACATAAAAAATCTGATGCAAAAAGAAATTTGTCACCCAAGTAGATATAAATAACTTACATGAAATTAAACTATTTATCGGCTACACAATGGATTGTCGGTCCAGACAGACTTGCAGGTCACATTGCGACGATGTGTTTGCCATTTACGCTTCACTCATGAATAGTTATGGAAAGGTAAATACCCTCCGTTTTGTATCCCTTGTGATGAAAGAATCACAATCAAGAATGTCCTGCTTGACTGTATTGATTTTGCCATCACAAGGGGTCGATATTTCAATTAATCATCTATTAAGGATCTTCTTATTAGTATTTCTCGTTTAATTAAAGGAAATGGTATTGTTCGAAAGTGTTGATCAATGGTTCGTAAAATAACTATGTTTATTTATAATTGGTAGATTAAATCAGCATATGAGATTGTTAGTGGTTGTATAGGATAGTCTCTACTTCAGTGAGTGAGTGAGTAAAATTTAAGGTCACATGGGCAGTATTTCAGCCATATCGTGAGGAAACAGTTAGAACAATTATATCGAGATTGAAGAAAACGCTGTCAAAGGTGGACAGTATAATAAGTAGACTATCACAGCTTCGATTTTAAAACTAGTTTAGAATATTTAAAAGAATACATTATGAGTCCACAATACAAAATAAAAATTGGCGATAGATCACCAGCAACCAACGTTTGGCCACCATACTGCACGGTGCTTCTTTAGCTGCTGGCGATGATACAGATTCTAGCCATCAACAAGCGTATAGTTGACAAAGTCATCTATACCCCCCGCCTATTTTAACACGTTATGGTCCCAAACCAGGTAACTGACCCAACATTTCTCTTAGCCCATGTCAAAATAGCTGCAATGGAAATTCTAAAATAAACATTTCTAAAACTCCTTAATATCAAATGGCACTAGTTCAGTATGTGCTTTATATATAGACATGCAATGTTTGGCAAGGAAATATTTGACAGTTTATTTGTTTTACTACTGAAGTAAACCAATCCTATATTAAAACTTAAATCCAACTTGTTGTCATGGAAACATAAACAATAAAAATTTCTAAAAGTGCTATATATCAAAAGGCACCCGTTCAGTATGTCCCTGGTAGACATGCAAAGTTTTGTAAGAAAGTATTTAACGTTTTTTGAGTTACACTCTGGAAACGAACACCACCCCTGTAGAACCTAAGTCCAACTTTAGTGAAAAATAAAAATTTCTAAATTTCCTAAATAGCAAGAGGCACCAGTCCAGTATGTGTCTGGTAAACATGCACAGTTTTTGTTGGAAAGTATTGAATGGGTTTTGAGTTATGCTCCGGAAACAAACTCTACCCTATAGAACCTAAGTCCAACTTGTTGCAATGGAAACATAAAAATTTCTAAAATTCCTAAATAGCAAAAGGCACCAGTTCAGTATGTGCCTAGTAGACATGCAAAGTTTTGTAAGAAATTATTTAACGGTTTTTGAGTTACGCTCCGGAAACGAACAGCACCCTTATAGAACCTAAGTCCAACTTGTTGCCATGGAAACGTAAAACATAAAAATATATAAAATTCCTAAATAGCAAAAGGCACCAGTTCAGTATCTGTCTGGTAAACATGCAAAGTTTTGTAAGAAATTATTTAACGGTTTTTGAGTTACGCTCCGGAAACGAACAGCACCCTTATAGAACCTAAGTCCAACTTGTTGCCATGGAAACGTAAAAAACAAAAAATGATAAAATTCCTCAATAGCAAAAGGCACCAGTTCAGCATGAGTCTGATAGACATGCAAAGTTTCGTAGAGAAATATCTAACGGTTTCTGATTTATGCTCCGGAAACGATTTCGGGATGCACACACGCACACACACACACGCACGCACGCACGCACGCACGCACACACGCACGCACGCACGCACGCACACACACACACACACGGACGGAATCCATTTCTATATCCCCCGCCAACTTCGTTGGGGCGGGGGATAGTTAAAATAACAAAGATACTACGTTTAAAACTGTGGCATGAATAAAGGTACTTTGAAGGATGTAGTCTTACATATCCTCTCAGGGGGACAATAATTTTACGCTACTTCAACCCCCTTTGAGGATACAGCCACTAACCATCTTAGTTACAAATTATACACTACTAATATTATAAAATATTTCTGTCTACACATTTCAAAATTTATCAATAAGTTCAATATCTTTTAAAATAGCAATAATTAAATGAGAACTTATTCTATTAAAAAGATCCTTAATTGATGATTATTTGAAATAAGTATCCCTTGTGATGGAAAAATCTGCACAATCAAGCAGGACATGGTTGACCGTGATTATTTCATCACAAGGGACACAAAAGGAGGATCCTCACCTTTCAACAAATATTCATGGGTGTAACGAGAATGGCCAATACGACATCGTCGTAAAATGACCTCTTCAAATCTGGACTGACAACCCAAGAAGGTGTAACCAATATTTGGTTTTATGTCATGTAATTTATTGATACCAACTTGGGTGTCCCACTTCCTTTGCATCAGATCCCGGATATATGATCCAATAACGGGCTTGTAATCGCTGTATGGAATCAGAATCAGAAGTGATGTCACAGATTTGTTGACGGATGCATTAGCAGCAGTATCATCCATTGTGTTACCAATGATGCCAACATGGCTTGGTAACCAGGAAAAAACGATGTCGTATTGGCCAGTAGCAAGTTGATTAGATTATTCAAGAATTTCGATTAAAAGTGGATGTTTAAAGACAGATTTGCAATTGTCTGAAGACAGGAAACAGAGTCGGAAAATATAATAAATTGTTAATGTTTTGATTGTTTACTTATGTATTCTAGTGCTGTTAATATGGCCTTTGATTCGGCTGTAAAATTGAACAGTTATCTGGTATTCTGGATGATATAGTTCTGGATCCAGTGACAGTGGCGCTGGCAACTGCATCACCATCCTATCTGCAAAGATAGATTTGTAGGTATTGTAAACACTTCTAAATTGATTATATTCTTGTTGATAAATTAGTTGATTGGTTTCGGATTTCTTTAGTTCAGTTAATGTAACTAATGTAAGATTCATCTCTGGTTTTACAAACTGCCATGTGGAGATGACAAAAGCTGAGAGGGGGCTATAGAGTTCCTTTTAGCAGCAGAAATATCTGCTTGTAGTCTTATTCCAAGTGGTGGAATAAGAGAAGATTTTGTTTTGTAGAGATTACCTACCGTAAAGGGGATTAAAAACACAGTCAAACGCTGGATTGGAGTCATTAGAACGTAATTAAGAGATATGTTGTAGAGCTAATTTAATGCGACGGTGTTTAAGGGATGGTTCGTCAGCTTCCACATACAAACTATGAATAGAAGTTCTGAAGGCTCCAAGGCAAAGCCTCAGGCCTTGAAAATAATAAATTGTGTCAAGTAATATTTAATTGCTCGTACAAGCCCTACCATATATGATGGAGCCATAATCAAGTTTAGAGCCGATAAGTGTTCGATATAGTTGGAGAAGGGTTTTTGATCCCCTTGAATTGGAGGCAACTTTTAATAAATCTAGGTCCTTCAAGAATTTATTCCTATTGGATTATACAT